GATGTTTTGTTTCCTTTACAATATTATACAATAAAAATAATCTTTTTTTATTCGGGCTACTCAAATTTATTTCGGGCTACCAAAAACTAAAGAGTTTAAAATTTTGCGAGCCCTGCTGTTGATGTCATCTGCTGCCTCCTTATAAAAGTTATTTGAACTACATCACTGTGGAGTACCATTCCTTCTGACCGAGGACGATCCAGTTGAAGCGTGATCGGCAATCAGTGCAAACATATATTACAGTTTTTGTAGCTCTGTTTTGCTTTCAAGATCTCGACTTTCAGGTCTTTGGTGGCTGTCTGAAAGTCAGTAACAGCCCCCTCTTTAAAAGCCTTTCTCTTTTTCCGTAAACAGGATTTGACGCTTTTGATGACCCACGGCTTATTGTTAGGGTACACTTTAATAAGCTTATGGGGTATAATCATGTCTTTACAAGATAAGATATTAACAGTATCACATAAATAGCTTTGAAAGCTAAAAATTACAATACAGAAGCTCAATAAATCCAGACTGAATGTAGGTTTTGTGGTATGAGATTATAAAGATTAAAAAAACAGTCCTTGAGGCAACAGAGCTAAAACAGATGTTAACACATTTTAGAGGATGCTGCAGTTGCATGTCTAGTAAGTGGTCAGTATCTGTTTATTATCCATAGCCAGCATCATATCATCACATCATATTAGCCACAGTCATTTAGATTGTTGCTGTGTCTCACCAACATGGGCATCAATACAAAAGGTAAGTCTGATAAAGACAAGGTTTGATGTGTAATAATAGTCAAAAACTCCCATATACACACTCCTAAACCTTGTGGAAAGCCTTCCCATAGCGGTGAAGTTTATATACCTGGACCAACAACATATTTAACCTTATGGATTAAGAAAAAGCTGTCACTCAAGTTCATATGTGTGTAAAATTGATAGTGAGCACAGACTGATGTAGAAGCCACATTTTAACCTTAAAATACTACAAAGTGACTTAATTTCCCCGAGGAAACACAGTGAGAGATGGAGGGATGCTGTTGAGCTCCAGGGAATGTTTGTTTTTTATGTTCTTATGTTATGGAAACTGATATTAAGGTCAACAATTCAAATGGGAAATCTCATTATCTGGATCTATTTTCCGGCATGATGGTGCCTGTGTTTGGCTTCGCCGCTGCCGGGTGTAGTTGGTCTCGCTCTATTGTTGTGTTTTTTCTTTCTACTCTGCTGTTTTTTAACTGTTTTAATGATGTACTGGCTGCCTTGGTCTACGATCGTCTGACACTGTTATCCATCCGTTCGTCAATGACGGCCAAAGATGTTTTTTCTTCTTCCTTTTGTGGGACTTTCCATTCTCCCCACTTTCCCCCGCACTCCTTTGGTACCTTCCACCCTCTGCCTGTGACTGGATCTTCGGCCAGCGCTTTCAGCGTTCCCCGTAGACTACGGAGAAGAAGAGGAAAGAGATCGGGCATCCAGGTGAAGTTTAGGCTCCTCTGGCGGCGGGGGCTGATTGGAAAGTGACGTCGGGCGTTTTCTGTTGCCTACGCACATGACTATACGGAGAGAAATCTGTCTCCCAAGGCCCTACTTGGATATAGGGGGCCCGGCTCTCCGAGGCTGTGTTGTCTCAGAAGGGTTCATCCAGACTCTCCTGCCGACTGGCCTTTCATCCCCTCGGTGAGTGGAATATATGAACGTGAAGGCTCTGATCCCGAGAATTTACGCCCTTTAATTCGAGAAACTTGAGCTTCTTCCAACAACAATGTTTTCACCCCGCTGTCTATGGCGCTCTTTAATGCCCGATCTTTGACGAATAAATCGTTTGTGCTTAACGATTTTATTGTTTCTAAAAATCTGGACTTCCTGTTTTTGACTGAGACCTGGCAACGGGGTTCGGATTATTCGTCTACTATTGAAATGTGCCCAAATGGCTTCTCTGTCATTTGCCAGCCTCGAGGATCTGGTCGTGGAGGAGGCCTCGCGGTGGCATTTCGGAGCCGTTTTAACTGCCATTCAGTGAAAGTTGGACACTTTCTGTCTTTTGAACTGCAGCTTATCAAAATCGGAAAGAAGGATCCTTTTTACTGTGCGTTGGTTTATCGCCCTCCTGGCCCAAACAGCTCGTTCTTAGCTGAGTTTAGTGATTTTCTGTCCTCTACTATGAGGTTGTCTAAATTGTGGGAGATTTTAATATACATGTTGATGATCAGTCCGACCTCTTTGCTAGGGGTTTTACCAGCATCATGGACTCTTTTCATTTTATCCAACATGTATCTGGTCCTACACATAACAAAGGCCATACACTGGACCTTGTTTTTTCTTTGGGTCTGAATATTGATTATATTTGTTCTTAGGACATTTTTATTTCTGACCATTATTGTGTCTTTTTTAATATGTCTTTTTATGAGCCTGTGTCTCCTGTTCATCGGACAGTTATTTCCCGCACCTTAAACTCCTCCTCAGCACAGAAGTTCTCTGATGCTTTTAATTTAACATTATCCCCACAAAACGATGTTGATTTTTCTATAGATCTATTCAGTTATCATTGTCTTTCGATCTTAGATGAAATCTGTCCGATTAAAATGAGACCTGTGCCTGTTTCCAAGTCTGTACCCTGGTTAAATGACAACATTCGTCTTATAAAATGTAATTGTCGTAAAGCTGAGCAGTTATGTAGGAAAACTCACTTAAATGTTCATCTCCTTTATTTAAAGGATCTTTTAGCCTCCTTTAACAATGCTATTAGAGTTGCGAGGGCTGCTTACTTTTCTCAGTTGGTTGCAAAGAGCAGAGGTAATCCTAAAGTTTTATTTGATACTATTACTAATATTATTACTCCTGCTCCACCTGCTGCCATTATTTCTTCTGTTGAAGATTGTGAAACTTTTCTTGCTTTCTTTTTAGAAAAAATTAGCAACATAAGGAAAAACTTGTCTTTTTCAGCGTCTGCGCTGTCAGTTCCCACTCCAGCTCGGCCTGTTGTTTTAGAAGGTTTTTCACCTGTTTCACTACCAGAGCTGGGAAAAATAGTTAGTGCAACAAAATTATCCTCTTGCTCTCTTGATTTCTTACCTGCATCATTATTCAAAAATGTCTTTTACTCTACTGGTCCCTGTATTCTTACTATAATTAATACCTCCTTGGCCTCGGGCATAGTCCCTGCCTATTTTAAAACTGCTGTTATACATCCCTTGTTAAAAAAGCCTATGCTGGACCCATCTCTCACTAGCAATTATAGACCAATCTCAAAAATTCGGTTAATTGCTAAGATTCTAGAGAAGATCGTGGCTAAGCAGCTTACAGCAGTTTTAGATAAATATAGTATTTTCGACAAATTTCAGTCTGGCTTTCGTAAAGTTCATTCCACTGAAACAGCCCTTCTTAGAGTTTCTAATGACATTTTGTTACAAAGCGATGGAGGTAAATGTTCTGTTCTCTTAATGTTGGATCTTACGGCGGCCTTTGATACTGTTGACCACTATATTTTACTTAACAGGCTGAAATACTGGGTCGGTGTCTCTGGGACTGCATTGAAATGGTTCTCCTCGTATCTCTCTGACCGATTTTCCTCTGTGGCAGTTTCTAAGTATAGATCATCTTCTGCGTCTCTGTCTTTTGGTGTGCCACAAGGCTCTGTGCTAGGGCCATTACTGTTTCTAGTTTATTTACTCCCTCTCCAGCACATTTTGAGCCCTTTTGAGGATATTTGTTACCATTGTTATGCGGACGATATCCAACTCTATATATCTTTTAAACTGGAAGAGGCTTCTAAGCTGCGGCTTTTAAATGTGTGCTTGGAAACCATTAAAGGCTAGATGGCTGAAAACTTCCTCCAACTAAATGAAAATAAAACCGAAGTCCTCTTATGTGCCCCAGATAGACATATACCTAGTATAATAAATGCTCTTGGTCCTCTTTCAGCGTTTGTAAAACCATCTGTCAGGAACTTAGGGATTATCCTTGATCCTGCTCTTACGCTAGATAGTCATGTTAAATCTCTTGTTCGGTCCTGCTTTTATCATTTAAGAAATATTTCTAAATTGAGCTCTATAATATCCTATACCGAACTGGAGATTGTTATTCATGCTTTTATCTCATCACGACTGGACTATTGCAATTCCCTGTTTACTTGTTTAAACAAAGGTTCCTTGGAGCGTCTGCAGATCGTTCAGAATGCTGCAGCAAGACTTTTGACGAAAGCTTCTAAATTTTCACATATAACACCGTTGCTTAAGCAGTTACATTGGCTTCCTGTCGAATCTAGAGTCCATTTTAAGATTTTGGTTTTAACTTTTAAGGCTCTTCAACAACAAGCACCACCATATATTATTGAACTTTTACAGCCCTATGCCCCTAGTAGGTCTCTGAGGTCGAGTAGTCAGGGCCTACTTGTCACTCAGTATACGAGACTGAAAACTAGGGGTGATAGAGCTTTCGCTACTGTGGCCGCCAGACTGTGGAATTCCCTTCCTCAGGACTTACGATCCGCTGATTCATTGATTACTTTTAAAAAACAGCTAAAAACACATCTTTTTAAAACTGCTTTTTGCTAACTTTGTTTGTATCTTGTTTGTTTGTTTGTTTGTTTTTATAATCTATTATATCTTGTAAAGCACTTTGTGATTTCTATCTAGAAATGTGCTATATAAATAAAATTTTACTTACTTACTTACTAAATGTGTGAATTTCACTGGTAGAATAAGAATGACTATTCATATATGTATTTATTTACTAAGACCAACATTTTTTGTCTCATCTGTAGGCTGCAGATAAATTAGAGTACCATGTACAATTCTCAGAAATTGTTTGTGCATTCCAATTTAATTTTGATGGATTTACAATCATTTAAATTATGGACAAAACACAGAATTTTGTCATTGTGGACCAGAGGACTAGTACATTAATAATGGAAACAATGTAAACAAATTCATTTTATCAGACTTCTGGAATTGTACTTAGTGTAAATTAATCACAATTGATCTTTTTTCACCGTGTCAGTGATAACATCAATTTTTCCTATAGTATACTGGCCTCACTGGAGCCATGCCTAAATATCTTAAATGTCACAATGAGCTTGATAGATTTCAGAAACCAGGGGTAGCAAAAAGTGTAGATTAATGGGTTCAGACAAGAGTTAAAATAGAACAGCAAGAGCTCAAAAGGTACAGATCTAATATCAAAGAAACTATTCTGGCCTACCATTGAGGAACAGAAAAATGGGAAAAGACATATCAGAAAGGCAATAACAAGTACACCAAGAGTCCTGGCAGCTTTCAGCTCAGATTTCTTAGCATGCACCGTCTCTGACCCCTGGAGTCTGAGAGCAGTGATATGAGAGCGCATTGCCCGAGCCTGAGACACAGCCACCACAAATACTCTTAGATACAGAACTATGATGACAATCACAGGGCCGACAAAGGTCAAAACAAAGTCAAAAATTCCCACAAAGTAATCAATGACAACTACACAATCACCAGAACAAGAATTATACCTCCCTGGCTGCTTGAAATTATCCTTCATGATAAGACTGTTATACAGAATTGAACAAGCCCAGCAAGTACAAATAGAGACTGAGACTCTTTTTATAGTAATTTTGGTGGGATAATGCAGAGGGTCGCAAATGGCTACATAGCGGTCAGCTGATATGAGTACCATAGTTCCTACTGAAGCAGAAGTAGCAATGTAATCTAAACTGCTATACAGAGCACACATGTGGTCACCAAGAAACCAGCAGCCATCTAGGAGGCTAATCTCAAAAGCCATGATGAGGCCCACGAAGAAATCTGAGACGGCCAGAGAGAGGAGGAGGAGGTTGGTTGGGGTGTGCAGCTGCCTGGATTAAAATAAAGCATTACATTGGTAATAGCATGTCTAGTATAACAGTTAAAACATTAGAACTATGAGGAAAAGACAAAAGCATCATATAAAAAGAAACTTCACAAGCAAAAATGATTTTTTTATCACTAAAAAAAAGTCACTAATTTAAATAGGTCAGTACTTGAAGTGGGCGATGGAGATGATGACAAGTAGGTTCAGTACTGCAGTAAGCAGAGAGATAGATGATAGCAGGGTGTAAATACACACAGCCTCAATTTGTGGGCGCTTTTGCCGCACACAAGAGGAGTTGAGGAGTTGTGGAAAGCAGAGTTCAGTTTCTTCCATTGTTAGAGAAAGACAGCTGTTCAGCACAAACAGCTTTGTGACTGAGCCCCTTTTTTGTATCACCACCCTTCCTCCCACATTTGCCTTCTGACGCAACTCATTCGCTGATATTTTTTCCCTCTGCGAATAAGTCAAAATGTGATGTTAATAATATAAAGTACAAGAAAACCAAGACAAGTGAGGCTCTTGAGCACAAACAGCTTCGTGACCGAGCCCCTTTTTTCTCCTGTGCATCACACTAATGTCCGTCCTCCTATTTTTCCCATCTGACCTCATTCATTTTTGGATGTCGTGATTGCATAACATGGAACTGCTTATTTTTAAACTGGATCAAAAATGGCATTTTAATTGATTCATAAACCTTACCTGTCCAGGAAAACCTTGAGAAACACAAAAAGAGCCCAAGGTCTTAAGCTGGAACATTCCTCAGAAAAGCACCACACTTCAGCAAATAGAACAGGATAGATCTGCTATCAATATCCTGGTGCTAGACACCACATGGATCCCAATGGTCACGTGTCACTGAATGTCAGATCACAGCTACTTTGGAGGACCTTCATGATAATTAGTCAGGGTGTGCGGCTGGAATTTTCTATCAGGCTCCTAAGTGCGCAGTGGAGGATGAGAGGAAACTGCAGTGGGTGGTGAGGGCAGCGGAGCGGGCAATCTGCACTTCACCAACCCCCCTCAGAGACATCTATACTGGCAGACTTCAGCAGAAAGCCAGTATCATCATCAAAGACCCCTCGCACCCTGGACACTCACTTTTCCCCCCCTTCCCTCTGGTAAACGCTCCATCAGGTTGAAGACAAACAGACTCAACAGCAGTTTTTACCCACAGGCTGTCAAACATGCCCTACCTCCACCCTGATTGGAGGATAACTGCACTGCCAACGCTCATGGACATTACACCTTATTTATGAATCGGATTTCTATTTATACTTCAATGCAACCAACATTCCTACCTCTTTAAACTGTATTTATTATAACCTTATTTAGTATAGTTGCAACAGCCCCCCCTCCCCCCACTCAATGTGCAATATCACTGATCACACTGCACCTCTCAATGCACCTGCTCCTCAGATGGCATGTATGTGTATGTATATATATGTAAGTGTTTATGTGGAAATATGTGTGTATGTATGTACACAGACATACATGTGTATATATACATATATGTATGTATGTATGTGTGTGTATGTTTGTATGGGTGTATCCGTATGTTTGCAGGTGTATGTATAACTTGTACATATCTTTCTTCAGTAAATGTAAATTTGTTTGTTATTGTGTAAATACTTAAGCTATTGTGTACTTCACACACATGGAGAAATGCCAAATAGGCTTTCATTGTTCTTGTAACACTGACAATAAAAGTTATTCTATTCTGTTCTATTCTATTCACTACCTAGCTAACTCCGCTGTCCTCTCTCCTCAGTGTGACTGCTTAACTGCCACGGTCCAGTCTGCATCTCTGGCCCAATTCCCCCTTTTAAATCCATGTCTACCTAGCCTGTAAACTAGGCCTTGCAACGTCATGTTCTGTGTTTTGTTGCCTTTGTCCCTGTCACACTTTGAAGTTTTGAGTTTAACAAATAAACAATGTAAAACATTTCGCTGTCACTGCTCTGGGTTCCTGCACTTGAGTCAGTTCAATTTTATTTTATTTACATATCGCAAACTCACAGCAGCAATCACCTTAAGGTGCTTTATATTGGTGAGAGAAGGAAGACAGGATAAAGACATGCTGTGGAAGAGAGACAGAGGTTAATGATAAGTGTGATTCAGTGCAGAGAGGTCTGTTAACACAAAGTGAGAAAAGAAGAACTACTCAATGCATCATGGGAATCCCCGGCAGCCTACACCTATTGCAGCATAACTAAGGGAGGATTCAGGGTCACCTGGTCCAGCCCTAACTATATGCTTTAGCAAAAAGGAAAGTTTGAAGCCTAATCTTGAAAGTAGAGATAGTGTCTGTCTCCTGAATCCAAACTGGAAGCTGGTTCCACAGAAGAGGTGTCATGGTCCTGGGTCGTGTGACCCAGTGTGTTATGTTTAGCCTATTTTGATGTTTATTGTTTGTTTAGGTTCTTTAAGGTAGTCCAGCCATTTGTATATATTACCCTTGCATTAAGTCTCCCTTGCCCTTCGTGTGTTTATGTCTGTGTGTCTTGTACTGTCAAGTTCATGCTGTCAGCTATGTCATCTCCCCTGTACTAAGTTTCCCTGGGTCATGAGTCCTGTCTGCGTGGTTATGTTTAGTTCTTGTCGTGTCTAATTTCCATGTTTCCTGTTTTACTTTGTAAGTCTGTATTCATTGTCTGTGTATTCAGCTCACTCCTCCTGTCCTGTCGTTAGGTTCATGTGTGTCAGCTGTGATCCCATGTGTGGCCACTTCCCCTGATCATCCCTCATGTGTATTTAGTCTCTGTGTTTCATGTAGTCTGCGTCGCGTCGTCTGTGTTATCTCCCCTACCCCTTGTCATAGTTCCCCAGCCTTAACTAGTCCTAGTTTGTACTTTGTTTAGCCATAGTTTTCCCAGTCTATGTTCAGGTTTTCCCTCAGTTGCTTTGCTGCCTTGTTCCTTAAGTTTTCGGCCCTAAATAAAGGCTCGCCTTCTGTTAAGTCCGGTTTTGTGTCCTCACCTCTGTTTGCTCTTGGGTCCTCCACTCACTCCACACGGTCTGCCCCGGCGGTCCGTGACAAGAGGGGCCTGAAAACTGAAGGCTCTCCCTCCCATTCTACTTTTAAATACTCTAGGAACAACAAGTAGGCCTGCAGAGCGAGAGCGAAGTGCTCTAATAGGGTGATATGGTACTACAAGGTCATTAAGATAAGATGGGGCCTGATTATTTAAGACCTTGTATGTGAGGAGCAGGATTTTGAATTTAATTCTGGTCCAATTTTTTTACTGAGCTTTGGTCCTGGGACATCAGATGCTTTTTTGTTGTTAACATAAAAGTTACTTTTATACAATACAATTTTATTTATATGGCACATTTAAAACCAAAGGCATACCCAAGTGTTTCACAATAATCCAACAAGACATTGTTATAAAACATTAACAAAGTACAAAAAGCAAACACTACTACTGTCACGGCGAGTGGAGTGAGCCGTGTGGAGATGATAAAGGAGGATCCAATTGCAGGCACTTGTAAAGGTGTGACGGTGGTTTATTTAATACACATCACAGGGAAAAAATGGCAAACAAAGACAAACTAAACTATACTGGACACAACTAAACCACAGAGCATGAACCTGAACGAGAATGAGAACGAGTAGAGGAGAATGACGATGGACAGCAGGGAGAACACACGGGTGAGACATGGTGAACACACAGACAGACCAGCAACTACAATAACAGAAGACACGACTTAAATACACACAGAGAAACACAGGGAGATTACACACAGGTGGTGGACACAGCTGGGAGCAATTAACGAGACGAGACAAGAGGTAAAATTGAACACATTCACAAGAGACGCAGACAACAGGAAACAAGACCTCACTACACAAAGACGCAGCCTTGAAACTGAGAGACAGACTGAATATAACACTTGGAACCTAAATGCTAAACATGAGACAAAAATCCTGAAACACACATAAACAGAAACATGGAACTCTAATAATAATCTATCATCATCATAATCATCACCACCACCACCAGTATACAGGAATATTCCATTATTCAAAGCCAAAACATAACAACTCCAAAATGCTGAGTCGAACCGACCCAGAACCGTGACAGCTACTAATACTAACAGATGGGAAGCACTAATTAAACCAGGAGTATAGGCTAAATAAAATAGATGTCAGGCCACGGGTAACAGATAGAGTTAATTCATAAATATAAAAATCATATCTAGAAAAATCAGCAATAATGCAGTAAAAAGTCAAAATGTAGTAAGAAGGTTAAAATGTAAAAAGGTTCAAATAGATGAAATAAGGGCACTAGCTAGAGGGATATTAAATAAATTAAATAAGTATGTTTTCAACCGTGTTTTGAAAGATTGAATAGAGTCCGAGGCACGAATAGTAACAGGAAGACTATTCCAGAGGTTCAGTGCAGCTGAGACAACAGCACAATCCCCCTTGGTCTTCAGGTGGGACCTAGGTTGGACAAAGAGTAATTGACCAGAGGATCTTAACCCTCTGGGGTCCAGGGTATAATTGGCCGTTTTCACTACTTTTTGATTTTGCCTCTATATTACACCTTTAAAAACCACTTATCTTGCCTTGTTTGGTATCATTATTTTCAGCATAACCTCAAATATCTGAAATTTGAGTTATTTTTTTCATTTTGGTATACTATATTAGCACAATTGATCTAAATCCAGACAAAAAAATTCAAAAAACATGTTTAACGAATCATTTTCATAACTTGAAATGCAAATAGAAATTGTACATTTCTAAAAATTATACACAAGTTTTGCAAACAACAAAGTTATATGGTACTATTTACGTAAAAATGCAGCCAAGCCCTCGGGCGTTTTTTATATAACAATTTAAAACTATTTACTGAACAATCAGGTGTGCTGCATCAAATAAGAAGGCACACAAATTATTTGTGCCAGTCCAAAAAAATAGGTTGTGTCCAATATAATACAGAGGAGAACAGCACAGTCCTAAACCCTGCAGGTCTGACAACAGGAGGTGTGTCAGTCCAGTTTTCCATGTGGGGACAGCGTTTACACTGGAATCTACCTCTGATGGCTTTTTTGGAGCAAATGTGACATTCAGCAGTATAACTGACACACAATAACTACACAACACACTAACTACAGCCTCTAAACACGCTAAACGTCACTAATGTCTCACATATGAAAACTCACTCTCTGTCTTTCTTTCCCTTGCCCGCTTTCCGTCGCAGGTGTCGCTCCTAAAACTGCCCCTTCTCCCTAAACAACCAAGTGCCACATGTTGCCATATCAGTTTTTGATTGGCTGACAAGGTAAACTTTAACACCAATAGGGAAAGGGTGTTTTTTCTTTTTCTTTTTTCA